TAAATATGTTACTTTCAGTTGTTATAAAAATGCTGTTTACATCAAATATGACTTAGAAGAAGTTTGACTTCATAATTAAACGCTTTGAAATTGGGTCTTGGTCTCTTGCTCTTTTGGAAGCTCTGCCTTCAGGACGTCATCATAACATCACTCTTCTACTAGCCCAGTAACAAAGTTTTCACCAGCATTACACGAAGATGCCGCACATATCAGTTCAACAGATGCGCTGTTCCACCAAGTGTTTGCTAATTACTGCCGATTAGTCTGAAGGAGCTAAGTGAGGGAGGGGTGCTCTGTGAGGCAGAGGCTTAGAAACTGCAGTTCTCCGAGGAGTAGCTATGCCTTACAGGCGGCGCTAACGCCACTCAGGTGTTTAGCGCAGCTGAATAATGGCCACAGGAGACTAAAGGATTTCAGAAAGATGCATAGAAGAATCAAGGCAACACTCCAGCATGAATAGCATCTCAATTCTAAACCTGTCTACATTTTCCCAGAGGTTCCATGAATCGTTAGTAGTACAAGAAACAATTTAAAGCTAAATGGGTATAGTCGCACTATACATAAATCTGATGGTTGAATAACCTAAATAAAATTTAAAACAATGCTTATATTAGTTGGCGAGCTATTAAGTCTATTTAGTCGATCATTCTGCAGAAAAAAATGTTTTAATTGAAAATGTTGCTTATTTTGTCAACATTTAGTTTCAGATTAAAATCTAAATAATTGCAGTTAATTAATAACAGACTGAAACTAACTAAATTTTTAACTGAGTCCCACCACTAATTTGTAGGACACAGGCTGGTTGCGCTAAAAGAAACGCAAGCCGCACTCCCCAGATTTTTTATTTTTTTTAAGTGAAGAGTTAATTATGATGTCATTCCATTCAAAGGTTTGTGCTGTTTTCTCACGTGAACTACATTGAGGCAAATGTGACAAAACGTAAACAAGTTAAGATTGCGAATCCTTTTGCAAACCACCGTAATACATGAAAGAAATGCAGCAGTTCTTCTGTGCAGCAGGAAGGTTTGATCCTTTTTCAGATTTCGCCATGTTCTCCTGTAAGCCACGGGAACAGAGCCCTGGTCGAATGTGCCGGCTTGCACCTCTTGTGATGTGTTAAGTGGATTTTTACAGCATGGCTGAAGGGGACTTGTTCGAAAAACCTGCAGGGACTGGAACCGAAGCCTCATACAGTGAGACTGTCTAAAGTGACATGCGGGTCTAAAAGTCTTTCTACATCCCAGGCGGCTTTCAGCAGCTCATCTGAAGGCTCGGTCACTCTCATGTGGGGTGTCTTGACCAGAGGAAAAAGAGGAAACCAAGAAGAAACTCCTTCTTTCTCCTGTGTCTCCAGAGTGGAGTAGATGTCAGCTTAGGTAAAAGTGATTTAAATTTTTTTTTAAAAAAGCAGACGTAAATGTGTGACATGGCAAACTATGGTTTGTAGTTGTAATATAAAAAGTGTGAAAAAGTAGTACTGAAAGGCATTGCATCACTGCATATACATTTAATCCCATTTTACGTATTTATTTGTCAAGTGAACGTATCTCAACATATACCATGTAAATGTGACCAGGTCAGCTAAAGTAAGCTAATTGTTTTTGCTAGTCCCTTTGCCAGCCTGTTCCTTTTAAGATGTGATTTGAAGCGAAGTAATTTATTGAATATTAACATGAAGGGAACCAGAGACTGAGAGGAAAGCAGAACAGGATGAAAACATCAATGTTTAACCGGTTAAAATATATCTGGATATGATCTGTAGAACTAGAATCAACTCGGAGCAAATCAAAGCTAAATGCTGCCTCCTAAAAATCTAGTTATCAATATGATTAATCACTGTAACCAATCTCTAATATTTGTAGGAGAACAAATTACGTTATATATTAAACTAAATTAAATCAACATGTTCACAGAGGAAAAAGAGTGATAATAATTCTGGCTGAAGAAGTTTTCAGTTACATAGAAGTGACAGTAAATGCTTCATCATTCTCAGGCTCAGATTATTACGAGCATTCTGCAAAAGATATGCTTTACGCTCGACTCGTATTGGAATGCAGCTGCACTGTCGCCACAAAAATCAGCAAGTATCATTTCAATTTCTGTTGTCAACATCAAATTACTTATTTCATTTCATGCCCAGTCAAGCACTGTAAAGCTACACGCAGAATCCGCTTTGCTTCAGTTGTTCGGCCATGTCTTCCTCAAAGACAAGCTCGCCTCCCGACTGGCAGCTTTAATTATGGCCAGATATCTGATCTCTTCGCTGTGTTTTCCACGCAAATCGAGCAGTAGACACAGAAGGCCAGCTCCCAAAGTCCCAGGAGTCCGCTGGCCTTAAATCTCAGAATCTAGTGGAGGGACATACAGATGCTCTATTCTCCTCGTTGTTACCCTTCTGCATATTCATAAGGAACTCCTGGATATATGTTTGCTTTTGTGCTATAAAGTTGAAATCAGTTATTTATATACCCTTAGTAAAAAGGATAAAACCCATTTCCTGACATTAAATCTCACTGAACTTTTCTGTTTTCCTTTTCAGTTAGGATTTAAAAAAAAATATTTTTACTGCTGCTTTAGAAGATTTTTCTAATGAGCTTCTTGAAATTCATCCATTAAGATCACTGATGTAATAAATTGGGAAATCCTAGATAACATTATAATCAAATTGTGAAGATGTTGGCTAACGCTGGCATAAGGGTGTTACTACTTAGAGTAAAACCACAGCCTATAGGCTGAAAGGCCATTCGGTAAGGATGAAGCCATAACTCCAAAAATGAATTGGAAAAACAAGCCAGATTACGGTTTGCAAATCCACTCATAAATGGAAATCAATTTGGAGGAAACTAAAAACCTAAGGAAAGAAGCTCGGGTACAAACTGACAATGATCCGAAATATACCAGCAGTGGTTGAGGTCAACAAGGTAAATGTTTTGGGGTGGCCACCACTTAAGGAATTTGTAGGTAAGAGCATAAAATGTGTTTCAGAGAGGAAAAAAGCGATTGTGAAAAGCTTGTGGAAAGAAACTAAAGTCAGAGTTTAAAAGGTAATTCTACCAAACCCTTAAAAAGATTCCAATTTGAAAAATATCGATCACTCAAGCTTTCACTGCATTTTAGTTGATAAACTAAGACCTTAGATGGTTTCATTGCAATCTAAACTGGTGGATTTTCCTACAAAATATAGGGGGAAGAGTCAGTTTCTATAATGAAAACATTCTTAGTGTGGGTAAACTAACAGCTCTCAATAGAGACAGAAATCTCATATGGTAATCCATGTTTTACTCTATCTGGATTCAGTGAAACAGAAAATGCTACAGCAGAATCTGCTGTTAGAGTTGTTGTTGAAGCTCCAGCAACTGGATTTTTCCATGTTTTCAGCACTCTGCTTATGCAGCATGTTAGCCAGCATCGAAGAGGTAGGAGAGAGTATGGGATTCAGGCTGGTTAGAGCTGTTTTACATAATAGATATATACAAGAACACATATACATGGTGCAAACAAGGAAGAAACATCACCAAAAGTCTTCAGCCTTTTTGTATATCTGAGGAAATGATGATCTGGCCTCACAAGAACCACAACTAAAAAAATGTTCTGTATATATACATCGGATCTTGTGGTCACATCGTAACCAGAAATCCCTTTTCCGGGATAGAAATGTGAAAAAATATGGTGGCGTAGTTACACAGTTGTACTATTTCCAGCGAGTGATGAAAAAGATACAACTTACCTTCTTTTCTGTGCAACAGGGGAAAACGGCAACAGACATTACAGTTTTATAAAAGTGTAGCAGAATTTGCAACAGCTTTCTTCCTATTGCGGTCGATTATGTGCAGGCTGATGTGTTGTCTCATGGAGAGTGGAAAAAAATTGGCCAAAAAAATATACCAAACCTACATTTTAGTATAACTACTAGCTTTTAAGCTATTTTAACTGAGATTTCTCTGTAGATACAATAAATCTAATGATGTGGCTACGTAGGAATATGTTTTTGTCAAAAACAACAACAACAAAAAAATCTGGAATCATTTCTAATGTCTTTCTTGGAAATTCACAACTTTTGGATATTTTAGAGAATAGGAGTTTTTCTTCTTTTAAATATGTGATATTAGGGCTGGACAGGTATGGCTGAGAAACATATCACAATGCAAGTGGTCAGTCGATTTCAATAATTGCTGACATCAACTGTTTGTTTTGTGTTTGTTTGTTTAATATTTGAAATACTGCCAAACTGGTAGAAAGGCCTGTCCTGTTTTATTCATCTTCAGGTGGGAAAACCTGAAACTGCTGCTGCGCAAGTTACTCAACAGACTGTTGCTAGGTAACCAGAGATTGAGTTAGCTGAGGTCACCAGCCTTGCCCAGCTTGCTGTGAGAGGATGAGTGGTTAAACCCTTTCCTCTACCTACATTTCCCAGAATTCTGTGCAGTTCTGGATTGGAGTTCAGTGAATATCCTTTATGTTGAATACTGTATATTCTATCAGACGTTTTATCTATTATCACGCATCGCCAGGGTTTTCCCATTACAAACAATTGTTCGTTTTTTTTTTTTTTAAAGTGACAAAGAGTAAAAAGTTTTGGACACTTTCTTTAGGATGAAACAACTAAAGTGTAAATCTTGATATTTATTCCAATTGTGCATTTCAACATTTACCTTTCTCATAGTTTGTGTTAAGGAATGGTTAATGTCTTCAAATAATTAATTAGGCATATTTTAAAATTTCTTGCCAACTTTAAACATGTTTTAAGTCAACAACACGATGGGCCTCTGGATGACTGCCTTTCCACCCTCACCACCAGGCTTTCTTAAGGAAACCCTCCATCACGATATGTATCGTTATTGATTTATTGTCCAGCCCTATGTGAAATTAATCTAGAGAAATGAACTCCTCCATGGCCACATTATTTATTTTTTCCTTTGATCCACAAGTACATCCGTCCTACATGCTTTGATACGAGTGAGGTTGTGATTTTCCGGCAGAGTGTCAGCTCAGGTACTCACATCTGTCAGTCTGTCTCTGGAGCTGCTCCTGATGGAAGGCTTGGACTCGCCGCCCGCACTCTCACTGTCGCTGTCCTTGCCGTTGTTCTGCCCAGGTTTCAGCTGCAAAGACAAAAAACAAACAAACAAGGCAATCAAGGGTTAAAACTGTTAATATTACATTCTAAATTATCTACATGCACAGCTCTGGCTCAGCACGACGTTCCACAGAAGTCAGCTCATGAATATGGGAGAACTGGCAGGCTCTGCAGTGCTGTCTCTGTAAAGCTGTCATGCTTCCTGAGCCTGTTCAGTAGACGTCGCCGCGCTTGCCAACGATTGACGCCATCTGATCTCTCAGCACGCGACTCTTCTCGGCCCACGGAAAAGGGAACGGGGACAAAGACCCCTCCGGAACCTTCAAACGGAGCCACTCTCCTTCCCGAGCAGACACCACATGCTGAGGCAGCAGGAGCCCGGCGAGTGCCATCCTCTACGCACGCTGTTCGAGATGTGGATAAATGATGAGAAGGGAAGGAAAAAAAAAAAAGGGGGGGAAGGACCGGCCAATCTGGCAGCGTCTGCGGCCTCACACAGTCTGAGGAGCGATGGCGAACTCTTGGGAGTGCAGGGTTCAGCAGGAGGACGTGGGGACTGGACTACAACTGATGTCCGTGCTGCCTCTTAAAGACGAGCCAAATTCCTGGTTCTCGTGTTGGCTTTCGTACAAAGAACAGAAAATGCTTGCATTTTGAGACAGTAGTTGACAAACGTTTTACCACTTATAATGCCTTACAAAACTACAGACTCACGTCAATAAAATAAAATAATGTCTGAAAATATATTATTTTCAAATACTATTGAAAACAATATTCTTTCAAAAAAAAATTTTTTCACACATCATAAAATATGTACTGAAATTACAATGCCCCTTAGTGCTACAATCCATATAGTTCGATTGCACTCAGACGAGTTCCTTTAACCAAGTAGGTGACATTTGGAGGCCATTTCATTGGATTTTGTTTTGTTTCACAAACAAGCACCACTCAGTGTTGGTTTATTAGATAAATAAGATTTGTGGCTGTAAATGAAAATAGGTTCAATGGATATAAATAGCATCGCAAACTCAGTAGAACTTCTCTTTCCATCTTCTGCACAAAACGGACAAAGCTCTAGAGTGTGTGCGTTTGGGCGGATGTGTGTTTTCACCTCTCCTTCACTCGCCTCCTTCCAGGTATCAGCAATAATTTAACATGATGAAAGGGCACAAGGCAGGGGAATACCAAAGGAACCCTTGAGCTGAGCAGATAATTAAAATGAAAATGTTCCCTTTTCTGTAGCCATTAGTGGTGTGAAAGGAATCCCATTCCTTGGGAGAACTGCATGATGGGTAGAGGACTGGTGGCTTCACCGGAGTGTCGAATGTGATAAGAGAATCTCAGCACTGGGAATGCCTGACGGGGACCGTTTTAATGCGTGTGAAAGTTTGAGAAGGCTTGTGATCGTGCGTCCACATGGTGCAAAAAGCTTGGAAGGTGCGCTTTAAGACAAAAGAGTCCGTGCAGAGAGGGATGTCAAGCATTGTTCTGAGCATCAGAAGCACCTTGTAGCGTCAATAACCAAAAGACGGTTAATTTTTTTCTTTCAACTATGCTGCACACTTCCCTTTTTTCTGATATTGTGGAGGATCAAATATTAACAAGCTTTAAATATGTGTATCCCTATGATTTGATTCTGATGTGAATAGTGCATGCAAGGTTGGGATATTCTGATCATCATTAAAGGAAACATTATTACTTTTGTAGTGACATCACCGTCTCAACTTTTTCTCTATTTCAGGAACAGCCGATTGATGGAAATGTACATTTTAATCCTCTATTTGAGTGTCGCTATCTTGTGCCAAAAAATAGTGACACTTAAATAGTCTTGTCTTTGTCTCACAAAGACATTGACGGGGAGGAGCCTCAAAGCGGCAACCCACTGATTGCAGGGCAAACGCCTACAACTGGTATTTATTGTTCCAATAAATCGTAGTCTATCTTTAGTTTTAGCAATGGTAGCAGAAGAAAGTTGTTCAGTCAATGTCGGTCATGCTTCAAAATACTGAATTAACCCCAACAGCCATCTTGCTCAGCTCAGCACTTCTCTCTTTGCAGAGGGCGATGGATGATTGCAGTGCAGAAAATTTCCAGTAAGCTTCATAGCGTCAAACTGTTGCGTTACATTCGTCACAGGTAAGCGTTAGCGATTACCTCATCAGAGTCCACACATTCAGGAAGCATTTGTTTCTCAAAACTCCAGAGTCCAGAACCTCCGTATGAAGCAAAAGTGTAGAACAAGGGGCTGTTTTTTTTTTTTTTTTATCAGGGTAGCATAGTGTGTGAGCTGAGGCGAATTTTTGTCACGACTTCACAAATACCACTTATGTGGTGATCCACTTGTGTATGCGACAATGTCGAACGTGTAATAATGTGCAAGAGAGTTATTTGTCTACAACGACATGCCTTACAACGTCAATGAAAGGACAGGCAGACAAATAGGGCAACAGGGGTGTAAATGCCATTTTGTCCAAAGGGAAAGGAGAAAAATTCTTCGAGGGGAAAACGGGAACAATATCTCATCCAGCCTGGCCTCTGAACTGATCCGTGAAGAAAGCACGAGGGGATGCTGCCTCCGCCCCCAGTCTCATGCTCCTTCATCAAAACACATTGACCTATAATATTTATTAACCAACCGGTGTCCCTGTTGACAACAATGAGTCGTGCGCGCCAGCACACTCATGCATTTATGAATGCGCGCAGACAAAGAAAAGCCGCTACCGACTGTTCCATCAAATACTCTCTGCCAGGAACTGAACTCATATGTGCCGGGCTTATAAAACATATAATCAAGTAAGTGTGGGGGTGGGATGTGGAGAGGGGAAGGGAGCTATATAGACATTTGTGTTTTATTAATCAATGTGGAATCAAACTAGGCTCTGCTGCAGAAAAACCACATAATCACACCATCTGTGTCTTGGTTTATCAGTGGGAAAGGAGTCCATGAAATCAGAAATCTCGCATTTATTCAGCTGTATGTAATGTCTGAAGAACACGTCTAATAAAGACATTCCAATAAAGAGCGGCTCATCTTTCGGGGCTATTACATAGCTCAGGACCTGATTACACAGCTATTTGAAAACGTATCCCCCAGCTTGTTCCCTTTAATTTCCCCCTGAGCTCCTTTAAATTACTTCAGAGAATTGTGTACGTGTTCCCCCCCCCCCCTCATCTGCTCTCTCTCTTTTTTAACTTCAGCTGATGGATTCATTTCTTTTTACGGTGTGATTAATGGATGTCTTAAGCAAATGGAGGGAATGGAGCTGGTCAGTACGATCAAACAGGGAAGCTGAAATTTAATGACCTGCTGCCTGGTGATAAATCTAAATGAGAAACCCCCATGTGGGGCCTTCGGGGGCCGTCTCTGTGACCTGATCTGGGATCATTTGATCACTCCCACTTGAAACGGCATGGAAGGCATACTTTTTACGGCCTTTTAAACTTAGTTTCAGTTTTAAACCTTCTGTAATGAACACCAGTGCACTTCACCGAGGTAAATTACATAGGAGAGATGAGACGTGTGTGTAGGGACGCTGTGCACAAGACGTAATGCAAAGGAAATCAAGTGGGAGGTCTTTGCCTTTAAAGGGTAACTTTATCTGTATATTAGATGAAATTAGAAATAATACAGTTGAACATAATAGTTTAATTTCATACAAAATAAATACAACGATGTGTTTAATCTGCTATTAAGTGCATGGCAAACTTCCATTTGTAATTCTTCTATTCATCTAACAAAGTTATTTCAAGCAGACACACTGACTTGGCCAAAAAAAATGATAACGGAAAACATTCTGGTAATATTTTCTTGAAGATTCAAATAGCTGATTTGTAATCATTGGATTTGTCAAGGTTAGACCTACAAATTCGGACTCCGCTTCTCTCCAGTTTTCTCATTAACTGCTGCAGTATAATATAAGAAGAAATAAAAATACGTTTTGCATGAGCTCACATTTTTCACAGCGTTCCAAGTTTTAAAACTGTCTGAATTTAACGACCTTCTTCCTATCTGCTAAAAGTATTTTATGGCCTAAATGAACATGCCTCAACATATTGACCTTTATCATTTAAAACACCTCACAGATCCTGAAAAGAGCTAATAATGTCATTTATAGTTAGTCACAATATCCACTTTGGTCAGAGCTGAAAACAGACCACTTTGTTGGTGCACTTTTGCTTTAAAGATGCAAACACTTAAGTAAAATCAATAAATACATATAACAACCCCTGTGTAATTGCAGAAAAACAATTGTAGCACGATCACAATCTTCAGCTGTTATAAAAAGTTTGCATAAGAAATATAACTTAAAAGAATTCATAATTTAATGCCTTGAACTCACTCACTCACTCACTCACTGGTTACCCAGCGGCAACTTGTTGAGTAACTTGCGCAGCAGCAGTTTCAGGTTTTGCCACCGTGCCTCATCACTGCTTAATAATAAACAATGAAACTGTGGATAAAGCAAGAAATGTCACACCATCATCTTAGCAGAATTTGAGATATTTATAAAAACAGCAAAAGTTCAATGATCAATATCAATAATAATCGCCAAACTGATGTGAAAGTTTTTCAGCCATATTGTTGCAGCGCGAGTAAAACAAAAGTCAAAAAAGGCAATAATGTCCGTCCCAAATGATCACAGTTGTATGTTCTGAGACTCCTATCTGAGACGAAAGGCAAAATGAAATATCTAATTTAGCAGCGTTACCTTGAGAGCTGCTGTAAAACAGCTATTACAACATATTCCTGCGCATGTGGAGTCAATTATTTTCTCACTCACTGAAAAGTGCTCACCATTGCCATAGTGGAATTTTACAAGTGTATTGACCTATTCTCAAGGGCTGCACTACAGCCCCAATGCAATCAAGCACAAAAGTAGGCCTGCTAACATTTCGAACCACAAAGGCCTTTTTAAATGGAGTCGTACACAACCAATCTACAGCGGATACCCCGCCCTATCCCTCCTCCGCCTCTCGCCTTCATCCCGCAAAAAAAAAAAAAAAAAAAACGGGGGGAGAGAACTG